CCAACCAACCAACCAACCAACCAACCAACCAACCAACCAACCAACCAACCAACCAACCAACCAACCAACCAGAACTTAATGTATATAGCTATGCATTGTAAAAATGATAGCAGTGTCTATGAAATAACATTTACACAAACTAAAGAACATTTTGAGAAAGGAGTTGTTCAGGATGGCAGCGATCTACTTTGATCTTGGCAGGATTCAGACTAGCCATTAGCTCATCAGTCCTGATAGGTTTAAAGTCTGTTTCTCCAACCTGAAGTCATTTTCAGCTTTCTACAACAACTATGATTTTAATCGTTCATGACTTTTACAATTGACACCACTCCAAAATGATTGAAACATCTCTTTAAATGAAAATTTTCTCAATATTTAAAGCCTGAATGCGGTCCACTCTACACTCTACTTAATGTAAATATTTGTCTGAAACAGATTCTTAGTTTCAAAGATAATTATAGAACTGCTCCACGATTGTTCAGGTCCAGTTCCTTCTGGGCCGTCACAGCAGGCTGACTCCGGGTGATTTGCTGGAGCATGTGTGTGTGTGTGTGTGTGTGTGTGTGTGTGTGGGGGGGGGGGGKTATGTAATGACAGATGGACATGTGGACTCAATGACCATTAAACTTCATCAACAGATGAAATGGAAGAGAGCTCTTAAAATATATCAGTTCACAGTGTTCTTCTTTTGACATCATTTGTCTACAGTCTCTGCTGGAAAGAAGCGTTTCCGTCTCGGAAGCTCAGATCAGTCCAGACTCCACAAGCTGAGGAGCTTATATCAGGATGGAGCCAAAACCCGATGGATTAACCCTAAACAAATATCTGCTTAAAATTAGTGCTGAATGATTAGTTTGTGCAGTGTTACTTTGAGGAAAAGCTCAACGTTTTTACTTATAAAGAAAWAAAGCATTCCATTTTATTTTAAGGTATTTGCACAGTTTTCAGCAGCACAGAAAAAAACATATTGAACTTTACCTTCTAAACAAATCTGTGAACCTTTTTTCCTGAACTAGAGAATCCGTTTATTTCTTACTAAAGGAAACAAGGAAAAAAAAAGATCATTCTCTGCTCCATCAAAACCTACCGGTAGTTTTATTAGTGGTTCTGTAAATCAGAAGAAAGCTTTACTAGATAAATAACAAAATAAACAAATAACAGGAAAAATTAATATAAACCATAATATGTTGTTCAGACAAGTTTGAAGAAAGAAAGAAGCCTGAAAACACCAGTGTAACGGATCTGTTCTGTCATCACAGCGTCAATTAGAAACACTTTTAAGGCCTCTGRATTCAACAAAACAGCAAAATTCCACACTGGTTATAAAGCTACAAACACAAAAATGTGAATAARTCTGTAATAAATAGGATGTTAAATAGAGCGTGCCTGCTGTCTCATTGGTCTCAGCTGACATGGCAAACCTTTTACATTACAGGAAACCATGGAAGTGTTTCTTCTCAAAGCTTTGAAGTCTTTTTCATAACATGCCAAGGTGCTTTGTGATGTATGAATCAAAGAAGAAGCCCTGCTGAMAAACACAAGGATGAAAAAAGGTGTGGAGCTGGAACAAGGTGCGTGGGTCCGGTTTTCTGGACACAGAAAAAACAGGTTAGTGGCTGTAAGACTCTGGGACAAAATACTACTAGTATTTTTAGCCACTAACCTGGTGTCAACTGGGAGCCTCCGTGTGGAAACACCGACTGTGTCAGTTTAGTTCCAGAGAAACACGATGACGTCACCGACAATCCTTGGGAGCGTTGCGGGTCCGAGAAACTGGTCCGGGGTCCAGGGACAGACAAGGGTCATACACAGAGGGATCAGAGAATGCGACAGGTTAAGAGGAGCAAACTTAACTCTTGAATCCGGGAGGCAGGCAGGGGTCGAGAACCAGGAAGTCTGAGGTGTCGTGGTGCCGAGCAAGGGAGAGACAAGGGGCAGGAGTCCGAGAAACAGAAACAGGGTCATTACCAGAAGAGCAGATGGCAGAAGGTATCCGACACGGGCTGAGGCAAGAGGCGGAAATCCAAGGGACGAGAATGGGATCGAGGAGCCGAGATCAGAACAGGACACGGGACAAGAATGCTGGTGAATCATAGACTGGCTGATGATAAACTGGCAGAGTGCTGAGGGAAACTGCTGGCTTAAATACAGAGGGACACAGGTGAGTTGCATGAGCTGATTACCTGAGGATCTGTGAAGGGAGTGGTGCAGGGCTGTGACAAGGCTGAGGAAAAGAGCTGCTAAAAACACATGACATGAGATARAAATCTGTCTACGTTCCAACCCTCACCTGTGRTCATGAGGCGTGGATCATGACCGAAAGAATGAGATCTCAAATAGAACCGAAATGAGCTTCCTTTGTAGGGTGGCCAGGCTCAGCTTTGGAGATGCTGTGGGTATCTGTCATCCTGGGAAGCTCAGATTAGAGCAGCTGCCCTCCTGCATCAAATAACACATTCTTATGTCGGACTCATCAACATATTGATGCTTGGGCAGGGACCGTCTGCATCCATTTTTGACGCATCAGGTACCCCCTGCGTGTCCGCCCTTGTCGCCCGTGGCTTTTCCTGGTTGCGTCACTTAGGGGTCTTTGGGTCAGGGGTCTGAGGTTAACATGAGGGATCAGGATTAATGGTTAATTTGAGATACTGGGGTTAGGGAAAGGCTGGATATAGCTAAGATGGGTTAAATTTAGGGTCTAGGATGGTTAGTTCTCGCGAATTCTCAACATATAAAAAATGTTTAATATGAGGGATCAGTCCAAAAGTGGACGCAGACGGCTACCTGAGCAAGCGTCAGTATGTTGACGCGGRGGGCATGAGAATGGGTTGTTCGAGCATCTGATAACGATGTCTCCTCCCTTTAGACGTGTTCCAGGCACGGTATGGGAGAGGGATGTCTGTTTATTTTCTTCTAGACCTGTTGCCTTCATGAACCGACTATAGATAAGAGGCAGAAAATGGAGATGCCTATAGGTGATGTTTGAAACATTCTTCACCAGAACGTATCCCCAACTCAAGGAGAGAATTTTACCTGTTCTGGTTGACAACCATGGCCCTAGACCTAGAGGAGCGAACTCTCATCCTATAACTCCACATTTTACTTTTCCTAAAACACTCCAGCAGCATGATTGTCACTGGGCCTCCACAAGCCCTACGAAGCACCAAACAGCACTTATTTGGTGGATGGAGTAACAAATTACCAGTGGTTTTTCACTTCATTTCAAACACCAGAGTCCCAGACACTTGTTAGCTTGGTAAAAACCAGACCCTTGTCCTTCACTTTGCTTTGTACTAGGGTCTGGACTCGCTGATATAGAGAAGCGATTCTTGCTGGAGGCGTGGCCTCTGCTGAAGCATGTGTGTGTATGTTGCTGTGAAGGAGGCTAAGCTAAGAAGCTAACCGGAAATTGCGTGCACTGTAAACAACCCTACTGAGAGGAGAGATGTACCGAGCCGAACGAGATGACTGTAAAGGAGAGCTGCTGCCTTGTCAGACATATTTAATTTAAAGTGTATCTTACCCCCAACAACAGATGATAATGCTAAGCTTGCTAACTGTTCCACCCTCTGACTGCTGCAGGGGCGTGTCTTAGAGAGAGGCTTTTATACCAGAACACAGCCGCTGTGACGAAACCRTGGAGAAGACACGTYACCGTGGAGAGCCGTTAACCAATATGCAAATTAGCCTGCAGTACCACTGCTCCACCCATATGAGCAGCAAAAAGACGTTTTTGACCAAATATTACAGATTTGAACAAATACGCACAAAAGCATCAAAATTAGCACAGAAACAGTACTATATAACATTTCAAACACATTCTAGGCAGTTTATCAGCTAAAAAAAGTTAAATTTGGAGTAAGTTACTTTTTAATTTGGAAGCCTTATCAACACGGACTGGCTTCATTCACTTCCTCCAATGCAGTATGTGAAACTAACTAGCAGACACTGCGCAGAAAATTGACGTCGTTCAAAACGCCGTCTTCTGTTTGCTGATTGGCCCAGGTAAGCTAAACTACAAGCAGACAACGCACAGAAAATCGATGTTCTGTTCTCTGATTGGTTCGGCTAAAAATCTGCCAGCGAAATCCTTGTCTATGGGAGAAATGCCAGACGGAGCAGTGAAGGGAACCTAGAATTGAGCGGAACTGCGTAGGAAGGCAAGGGCCAGGCTAGGCACTTTTATGAACAAGACCCTTAATTTGTGTATATTATTGTTCCATCTCTTAATAGTTATATCTCACCAGAAAATCGATTTTGTGAACTAAAATAAATATCAGTTTGGCTACGTTTAGAAAAGAAGATTAGGAATTGGCACCAAAAAACTAAAAAGAAAATCTTTTCAGAAAATTGAACAGTTCCCCTAAACCCTCCTAGATCATTTTGGCACATACATGTTGAGATTGAATGCATTTACTGCTATGACGACACACATCCATGGTTCCCAGATGTAAAAATCATTTCTTAGATGACCAAGTTGCCCCTAAAACTGTTTGACAGAAGTCTTTAAATTCAGAATGCAGCTTTAAACAAAACAAACATGACATGTTTAAAAAGGAAACTAAACCAGAGTTAGTGAATCCAAACAGAACAAAATACTGTGGTTCAGGCTTCCCATTAGTTTAAAGAAATTCCATAAAGATTTTGCCATTTTTTTGTTGCTTTATATYGTCTGTCTAATTATTAAATAAATATTCAGCCATGATTCAAGTGCAAAATTCTTCAATGCCCATCACAAACCTATCTCAAATGCCCTGAAAATGCATAGATATTGTCTTGTTTGTAAAATAAGAAAGCACTGCTTTTAATCTCACACAAGACCATCGTCAGAGTCAGGTGGAATCAGTTTTTCCAAGTCCTTCTTGATTTCGGGGAAGCCCCGGAGCGTATCCTGAAAGTTGTCCCAGGACAGAGAGAAGCACTGGCAGTCAGTCAGAGCCTTCACTGTGGCCAGATGTTTGCCTTTGGCCAGGACACATGTCTCTGCAGACACACAAGGAAGCATAAGACTGTAGTTAATGAGTGAGTAAACCTTAATGAKGGGGGCTGAGCTCTGACAATTAATCCCAAATTAAATGACCAGACGTTGCTGAGTCATTAGTGCAAGGCTGCTTAGTTCTAAACTATCTGATGCCAAAAGGATTGGAGCAGGTTCCAAACTAAACCCGAAGAA